CTGAAAATTTATTTTGTCTTGTTCGTATGCCTCTTTGATATCAAGAAATGTAGGATCATAGTTTTCTGATGAGTTGATGTGTTGAAAGTGGTCACTAAAAATTTCAGAGTTTTCTTCTGGAGTTGTTATGTCTTGGTCCTAGATGATGTGAATAGGCGACGAGAGTAAGTTCTTTCCAGAAATGCTTCTGATTTTTCTCCATATTTCAGCTAGTGTTCAGTTTCAGACACACGCAGACGTTTGAAGTTGATCATATTATCTTGTGTGGGTGTTTTCTTAAATATGTTGAAGGCATGCAGCAATATCTCCGTTCCACCATGGTACTTCTCTCTGAGGTGTTCTATTTTTGGTCCTCGGTATTGATCTATAGGCTGCTTCTAGGATCGCATTAGTGATATTTTCAACTAGTGAAATGGTGTCTCCAAGATTTGGTGTGAAACTTTCTATTGTAGCGTAGAATTTGTTCCAGTTGGCTAGATGTAGACGCCATTTTTCAAATTTATATTCTGGTATGAATCTGTTGGCGCAATTAATGGAAATTGGTTGATGTTCAACAGCAAAGTCGTCTAAAACTATCCATTGAAGATAGGGTGCAATTTCAGGAGAGGAAATGGTAAGATCTATCGCTGACAGACAATTTGAGCGAGAATTGATGAAGGTACCTTTCCCTGCGTTGAGGACTATGATATCTAATTCTTCAATTATTTCTCCAATTATACGTCCACGGTGATCAGTATCTTTCGAGCCCCACATGTTGCTATGTGCATTGAAGTCACCCATTATCAAATGGGGCCTAGGAAGTTGTTGGAAAATATAAGACAATTCAGCTTTGGTACACTGATCTTTCGGAAGATAGACATTACAAATAGTTACTGAAATGGGTGATTTAATTGATATCGCCACAATTAGTTTACACGGGAATATTTTCAACCATTATAGATTCTCTAACTAACGTAGCAACTCCTCCGTGGGCTCTCGCTCCTGGCATGACATCATGCCGAAATATATTGTAGCCTCTGAGACTATATTTCTCATCGGATTTCAAGTGAGTTTCTTGGAGGCATAGACAGAAAGGACGTTTTTTCAGCAGAAGTACCTTTATATGTATATAATGGTGGTTGATACCATTACAATTCCATTGTATGAGATTTTCGTATTGGTTCATTATAATAGTGATGATGTTTCCAGTAGATCTGAGATTCGGGTATTATCTGCTAATAACATACGATTTGAGGCGAATGTAATTATATCACAGTTTATATCACAATTTATATCACAGTTTATATCACAGTCTATATCACAATTTCAGAAAAATTCATGTCAGTTCCTAGTTCTTTTGTTACGACCCCGACCACGTCCAGAGTTCTTTTTTGGTTGTCTACTTTTGGGTGTATTATTTTTATTAACTTCTTCTGAACTAGGTTCTAATTGACTTCTAACTCTTTTTTTCTGTTCGGATGTGGTCGAATAGTTGGTGGACATTGAGTCCGTTCGATACCTGCTGGGATTTTCTGTTGAGGTCTGAGGTGACCTAAATAGTTCACCTTGTAAAGATTTGTTTGCCAGTACATTTTTTATCATTTCTTCTATTTTTGGCAGAATTTGAGAGATGACATCTGTAACGGTTTTATTTTGTGTTTTAGTTGCATCAACATATGAAACGTTCGGTGTAGGGGTTGTAGTATTATTGTTGTAAAATTTTCTCTTTGCTTCGTAATAAGTAATTTTCTCTTTGACTTTTATTTTTTACATCTGTAACGGTTTTATTTTGTGTTTTAGTTGCATCAACATATGAAACGTTCGGTGTAGGGGTTGTACTATTATTGTTGTAAAATTTTCTCTTTGCTTCGTAATAAGTAATTTTCTCTTTGACTTTTATTTTTTGTATAAACTGTTCTTTTTTATAGGTGGATCAGTTTTTGTATCCAGCTAAATGAGGTCCTTCACAGTTCACATTTCTTTGGTTCTTCACAAGGAGTTCCCTCATGTGAAAGCTTTCCACACGCGCATATTTGCTCCTTACTGCAATTATTTGTGACATCACCAAAAGCTTGGCATTTGAAACATCTTTGTGGTGGGGAAATGTAAGGTCAAATCTTCAGTTTATAGTACGCCACATTGATCTCTTTGGGCAGTTAGTACGTGATTTGGGGTATCCATATATTAACCATCTTTTTTAGCTTTCAGTCTCCTGACGTTAACTTCTCTTTGAGTCACTAGGACGTCCACGATTTCTTCAACACTAACTTTTTCAACAGAGTTAACTTCAGACTATATACTATTTTTGAGATCAAAAAAGGGTTAACTTTTTCAAAATCACAAACTTCACTCTCATCTTGAGAGATTCTCTTAACAAGCAGGAACCGAGGTTTGTTATCCACCGTCTCCTGTCTTGTTGATGATGTTTTGAGTGCCTTCCAGGTGCAGTTGATTCACAACGGGTTCGGCACCATTGTCCGTTGCATTTTGTGAATTAAATGTAGAACTTTCCATCTAGTTCCCACGAGTTGGGATGAATATAGTCAACTGCACCAGTACAACCATACCGGAGAGGGGCTGAATACAAACGAGGATCGCCTGGTACTCGTAGGACACCGTTCGTGACTCACTATCGCGGAGCCATTCACCCATCGACACGGTACGATTGACATCTTGGGTTACGGATTTTTCGAAGGTTTTTTCCTTTTGAGGTGTTCTTTGCTTCACTACTCATCTTTGAACTTACCGGCATGGGAGACCCTACTGGGTCTAGCAATGCCGGCTCCCGCCGGCATTGCTAGTGGGACCTTGTTATATGTACTGTAAAATTTTGAATGAGGAATAGAAAATAGATTTTTGTATTGTTGGAATACCCAGAAAGACACTTGTTTTGTGAAGGAGTTCATGATTCTTATTGTCTTTTGGGAGTATTATCATCCCCAATCTGAAAAATAAATGAAGTTATTTTTGTTTGCTTTCCAACGCTCCAGACAATAAAACTCTAAGAATTGTAAAAAGCAAGTAGAAAAGGAAACCAATCTGAAAAATTGAATGTAGAAGTTGAGCTTCTGAAATTATATACCAATAAACCATTTTTCCAGTTCGAAACAGGTTTTCACCAAGAAATGGTGAAGATATGTTGACAATCTATTTGCTATTTGGGATCATAATCCAGATGACATCAATACTGTCCTGAATTATTTGAATTCAAGAGAAAAAACGATAAAATTTACATTTAGAGCAGGAAGTTCATAATCAAGTTCTTTTTATCCAAATGATAAAAAAATCGATAAATACTCTTGATGAAAGTTTATCGAAAGATAAATCTAATCATCATACTAGTACATATAAAGTATAATCAGACGTTGATATGATAGGGATACAGTCACCAACATATACAGATTCAACAATGATCACAAACCCAACAACAACATATTACTTCACAACTAACGTGATACCTTACGGGACAAATCGGTTACGGATCAACTCTAAGAACGAGATCTCTGAGAACTGAGATCTCTTTTGACACAAACTGAAGCCGAAAGTATGGTTGAAAAAATGAAAGAGTGTATATATTTACAATAAATCTTATTCCTGTGGAAAAAGTTATATATGTGAAACCTCAAGGCCTCTTGATGTGAGGTAGCGGACCATATTTTAAAATCAAATGGTGATCACCCAATAAAATAGAGTGAAAGAAAAAATAGTCACAAGTATCCTCAAAATAAAAAGAGAAAACTCAAAGAATTCGCTTATGTTAGCATATATTTTTATAATTGATGCGTTGTTTACAAATTATTTTTTTTTGGGTTTTGAAAACAAAACGTCAACTATCAAACAAAGAGAGCTGAGTATGAAAATTTCACTTTTTCCACTGGTTATTTAATTTCAAGTCAAAATTTAAGAATAGGACAAGTTACTCACTAATCGAACGCTTTAGTCATTTACAGTGAGAACTATAGAACGAAAATGTGACAAAGAATTTATTGACCTATTCAAAAAATCACTATGTTCCTTCACCGATTACCGATAACGAAGTCCACGGTTTACAAAACAAAACACTAAAAAATACTGCGAGAGGTAACTCAATAGCTGGTGATCTAAAATCGACAAATGACAATATTTTCGTCAAATGCCTTTGTTGCGAATTAAATTTTTTCAGAAGAAACGCTTTGATTGATGTTCATCATAGTAAAATTGTCCGAATCAAATCAGCACTGAACTATTATATGAAGGAAAAACTGTTTTGTTCAATCTGAAGGTGTACCTATTAAAATATTATTTTATTATGTACCACAGTACTTTTTCAGACACGGCTTTCCCGTTGTCTTTCTTTTTGTATCAAAATCCTACTTGTATAGATTTGTTTTACAAACGTCTTCTATTCATTTTCATTTTATTTCAAGACGGATGTTGTTCAAAGTAACGTGCTGTCCCTTTCCAAATTTGCTTACATTCGGTAAATCGAAAGATTTTGGATAAGTTTATTTTGGTTCAATCTATTTACTTGTCGGGTTAAATCATATTTTTTTTAAGTTACCACAAACCCGTTGTGGAATTGGCAGTAACGATCTGAGACATCCATTATTCGTCTTCTCTATAGTGAAATGGTATGAAATATTTAAAATAATTTCATCAACATTTAAAACGCTTTAGCATATTCAATTTTGAGAGGTACCTATGAAGGCGAGTTCAGCCTGTCGTAGTTTAACCTCAGTTATATAGCTCAGAGACGTTTGTTTCCTCGGCGAATGCATTTAGCAGTTTCAAAAACTTTCTGTGACCTATTCAGCATCGCATTTGAGTGTCTAGTGAATATATATGCAGAAATAATAAATTCTTTGGTTTATCACGTTTTGGCAAACGGTGAAATAAATTTGTGAGACTGGAGGTTGGAAATGTCTCAATTATCGATTTTGAGAATATGAAGTAGTCAGTTCTTTCGTTACTGATATCATGACGCCATCGTTTGGGTACATTTTAAAAAAAATCATAGCAAACAATATATTTATTGGCCTTACCCGTCTCCGTCAAGCGTTATCTGAGTATTGGCCATGACTCGAAGTACTAGACCAACTGTGGTCTTTTCGTTGCAGTCAATGCCTAACAGACAGCATTCCTCGCCTCTACTGCCCATCCTTGATACAACAACCAAATATCTCGTCCTCAGAGCATGAACACTCTCTAGTTTCACCGCCTGAAACAACAAACATTGAATTATGTGTTAATGTTTTCTGATAGTTCGAAGATTATAGTTATTATTGTACTACCTAATACTTTGCGTTTTGATATTATTAAAGAGATGATTAGTAACAGTTTGACCTTTCAAGTGCATAGTTGTGGTAGTTCAATGGATAGAAAATCCAACCATCTGGGGTACCAATGCATGATGAGAACCATCCTCCTGGGCGTAGAACCTTCAAGTGTATTGTACTCTTATTATACAGATAGATAGATAAGTTTATTTCATCACATCAACTACAAAATGTACAATAATAACAATTCAAACTGACAAACAAGAAAAACAATAGTTGCGGTTCATACACGCTAATTACATCTAAAGTAGTTATATCCTAAATTTAAAAAAAAACATTAAAAGAGTAATGTCTCACAATTCAAATACGCATCGATGGAGTAGAAACAGTGCCTCAATACTCAACTCTAGCCTTGAAACGGTTATAACTCAAACTAGTAATGTCTATTGGTATTTTATTGTATAAATGTAAGTTGAGTGAATTTCGAGCTGATAGATGCAGTCGACAAAATTGAGGCCTCAGGTGTGCACCTCTTCGAGCTCGGTAATTATAAAAGAGAGCATTTGTAAGGTACTTAGTATTATTCTTGTAAATCTCTAAAAGGTTGAAATGAAGGACGACAGTGTTCTCTGTAAGAAACATTGGCTACAGAGAACACTGTCGATTACCACAGTACAAATGAGGACGAAAAATGAGTAGGTAGAAAATTCTGCATTTGTTTGCTCGACCATTCATTTGAGTTTGGTTTACTTAATTCTTACTTTCTGATATAAAGGTGTTATTTTATAATTATTGGTCTTAATGGAATTACTTTCCTTGGAGATATAATAATATACAGGGTAGAGTGTGTGTTCGGCGAGTTTTGGCCTACACCTGCCGATATAAAGGAGATGTCTCCCAGCGACCTGTCCACCTTCCTGGAAAGGACAGGATGGACGACGACCTAGGAGGACAACTCCTTGGGAGGATGTACAATGGGTCACATGTGGCCTAAGTGCGTGGGCTTACAGTCACCCTCCCTACTCTACAGATACAGATAGTACTGATATTGATAAACTTCGCGTTGTTAATCAAAATATCCACCACTAAAATACCTACTTTTCCTGCCTTTTCACGAAAATATTATACTGGAGAATTTGAAATGAATAGTTCAAATTGCTCTTCAAATCTTATCGAATTTGCCAGAACAAAAGCTTGTAACACATTTGAAATAAAAAAAAAACGAACGCTTACTGTTAAAACGGGACATGCAGCATTGCCGGGCAGACAAGCAGTTTCCTCTTTGGGGAAGGTTGAAAAACGAAGGCCTGTTTCGATTAACATTCAAAGCGGAGCTAACTGTAACTTTCATCCGTTAAAAACTCTCGTAATTGCCGTTCGTATTGACTTGTATGTTGCCAGTGAATGCATCAATAATTCATATAATAGAATAATGTATAATTTATGGTTTGTTGGGTATAATAAGATATTTTACCATTTCTGTACGCCACACTAAATATTACCACTGTATTCGAAGTGTACAGCTGAATAATTTTATTATAAACGATATTTCACTTGAACATAAGTGAATTCAATTAGACAGAAATAGTCGCCAGTTAGCTAGAAACTGAGTTTTATATAGTGTGTCACCGATTGAGACCAAAAAAAAATTACTTCGAATTATGAATTTACTTAAAAACGTCACGAAAACTATCAGTGGGAGAGTTCAGGGTCTGCTAAATAACTCACAGGGCCTTTAGCAAAATCGGAGGTTTACCGGTTTCGTTGTAGATGTGGATGTGGATCGCTCTACATTGAAACCACGAAGAGTAGTATAAGTACTCGGTTCTCTGAACACTACATAAATTGTTGTCTGAAGAATATCGACAAATCAGCAGTAGCGGAACATGGAGTTAGAGGTGGTCCCCATGTTACCACGTTTGAATAAACCCAAGTCCTCGATAGAACTACTATCCAAAACTATATAGTGAGTAGACATAAGTTCAGAAACACAGAAACAACTTCAACCAAAAGAAAGAGAGTATCAACATTTAAAAAATCTAGCTATCTGTACGTAATTGCTCTCGTATCATTTCATTCGATATAAGAACAACCAGAACACTTCGTCCGTGGCCTCATCGCTTTTGATAATGTTTACCACAGTCGTAGACGAAACTTCTGGCATAACAACCTGCAGTCTGTGACCAACAAACAAGAACAAACAGATTTTATTCTGTTTGAGCAACAGGTAGATAACACAGTTTTTTTGTCTTGAAAGTTATGGAAGGACTTCCACCACTCCAATGATGGAACTTCAATTAACGAGAAGAACTATAAATTGAAAGGGATATATTTTTAGAAGAAATGTTTAGGCTTTCTACTCCATCTTCCTACAAAGATGTGGGAAATTTCTAAAGAAAGAAAAAAGCAATTAATTTAAAAATAAACTCTTCACAGAGATATGTAGATAATGCAAAGAAGTAACTTTCAGACACAAACTGGAAGAAAAAGCTCTCTCGAAACAACTACTTTCATATAAACATTAAATTGCACGAAAGAAAAAGTACTTTCGAAACAATACAAATCCTACTTTACATCCATATCGTTTACATTCGTCAGTGGCGTCCCGTAACTAAATCTTTGACCATATAACTTTAGTGATTTTTCGAAGGCCACTAGCTAGAAAATCTGTTGATACATATGTAACCGGAAGGCAGAAAAAAATCCAATAAAAAATGAGAAATTAAACTTTCTATGTATTTTACCACTTTAATTTGTAACTATCGTTACTGCAGTTTCATTCTATATGGACATTTCCAAACTAATAACAATAAAACTGAAAATAAATAATAATGTCAACCCTTCTGTAACTAAACACCACTGTAGCTAATAACAGTACCTGAAATTTGTTTACCTTGATCACCTACAGTGGTATTCAGTTATATAAGTTCCAACATTACTATTTATTTTCAGTTTTATTGTTTCCAGTTTCAAAATGTCCATACTGTAGTAACGATAGTTACAAATAAAACTGGTAAAAAACATAGAAAAATTTCTCGTTTTTCATGATGACTACAACGTAGTAACGGGCTACATGAATCAATTTATCCAATAAAAAAATAACTCATCTCAGTGAATATGATAAGTTTCAAATAGAAAGTAAAAAAGTATACCAGCTTCGGACTGATAGGTGGCATTGAAACGATTGACGTAAAATGAATCTAATGAAAACACCTTTCCCACACATTTCCTGATGATGATAAAATGTTAAGCGAAACCTACGTGGAGAATAAGTACTCTAGTCATGGTGAATGTGAAAAAAATNATTATGAAACGGATTATGGTCATATAAGTGTATTGTTAGAGTACGGGTGTAGAAAATAAATTTAAATAGCACACTTTATTTTACATTTGAAATCTATATAATTTTGTTAGTGAGTGATTTCAACTATCATAATAATTCTAAAATCATTTTGGTATCATAAAAATTCCGATAGTTCAATTTTCGTTTGAGAAAAGAATGCCAAATTGAATTCTCATTCCACATTTCATTTTACTGAAATGGTTTCATAATGATATTGAAGAGACACTTTTCGAAAGTATCATCAATACTTACTACCTTACAACCATAATTACAAAATAAGGATATGGAATTGAAAATAAAAGATTTTTAGGAAAGATACATTTTTTGGGAAGAAATAATGAAGAAGTACAAAGACAAAAAGCTTATTTGTCAAGGACATTTTTATTGGCATTGAAAAACAATTAAAGTATTATATTGTGTGAATGATATCTGATTCAATTCCATAACGAATGTTTGGAGTACAGACAACATACTCATACTCACGCCCTTTTGTATTATTCACAAAACTAAATATTTGAATATTTGAAACATTCATAAATTTTATTCAACAATAATCTGAAATAGTCAGTACAAACTTATCAATCAGTTATATAAAAACTATACTTCATTCTTTACAATTAACCAAAAAAATCATGTATGCAATTCCACCCCAATGAAACTTTCGACCAAATCTACAAAATCTTTTCGAGAGTCTGAGTGGATTTTCAGAACGCTTGAAAATATAATACAACACAATATAATAATCAACAATATACAATAATAAATGTTAACACACAAACAGCTGAAAGAGTTGAAACCCAAAATATTTCAGAATGGTGGTCAACATACTTGTACTTAACTCGGTATAGGAAACTTACAGTAGTGAAAATAAAATATGCCATAGTTATTATTTATACGTTTTCGACACTGGTTAATTCATTATAGACGGTGTATACAAAAAAAACATCTTTCTTCAATATTTGTACTTTAAATCATGAGCTTGCACAGAAAAAGTGAATGAACTGAGAAAACTGATGCGAATTTCAGAATTAGCACACTGCATATCAAATCGGAACTATAAGCAGACTGTGGGACCATCCTCCAAGAATATTATTTACGAGTTGGCATTTAATGTGCTCTGTGGGCAGAACAGTGAAAGTGAGTATATTGCTAGGTACGGTAACAATGGAAATAATCTTATATCAATTACGTGACAGAATGTTGTGTACGAAGCACTGAATTATCAGTCATTGTATTGTATCGACAAACATTATATAAAAAAATGCACTCCACCATAATGCTCTGCATATATGTTAATGAATACTGCGCCCAGAAACCATTTGTAATTTGCAATATGAATTGAAGATAATTGAGGTTGTTGACATGGTTTTGTGGTCAGTCAGAAGAATCAAACTAGAAAGAATTTTAAGTACCTTGAAGCATGGAAATCGTGTGTTATGTAATCTGACTATTCCCCGTCAAAATGATTACTGATAAGAATCTCGTTTGGATACTTATAATAAAGGAAAATAATTCTTTACTGTTTTCCGGGAATTTTTCAAAATATCATTTTGAGATATGATACCATTCGATTCATACAGAAGGTGCAATCTGGTATCA